ACTTTTCTTCTCCTTCCTTTTCCTTTCCTTTCCTTTCTTTTCTTCTCCTTTCTTTTCTTTTTCTTTCCTTTCCTTTCCTTTCATTTCTCTTCCTTTCTATTCTCTTGTTTTCTTTTCTTCTCTTTTCGTTACTTTTCTTTTCCTTCCTTTTCCTTTCCTTTCCTTTCCTTTTCCTTTCCTTTCCTTTCCTTTCCGTTCTCTTCCTTTCTTTTCTTTGGCTTTCTTTTCTTTTCCTTCCTTCCTTTCCTTTCTTTTCTTTCCTTTTCTTTTCCTTTCATTTCCTTTCCTTTCCTTTCCTTTCCTTTCCTTTCCTTTCTATTCTCTTCCTTTCTTTTCTTCTCTTTTCGTTACTTTTCTTTTCCTTCCTTTTCCTTTCCTTTCCTTTCTTTTCTTCTCCTTTCTTTTCTTTTTCTTTCCTTTCTTTTCCTTTCATTTCTCTTCCTTTCTATTCTCTTGCTTTCTTTTCTTCTCTTTTCGTTACTTTTCTTTTCCTTCCTTTTCCTTTCCTTTCCTTTCCTTTTCTTTTCCTTTCTTTTCTTTTCTTTTCGTTATCAAACTAGCCATGTTACCTTCAAATATGTAAGAGTTGTTGGATTGAATCTCCAGTAAAAGTGTTTGGTTAGTGACAAACGCTACTAAAATTAAGAATTAGAAAGAACAATTAATCAAACATACAAATGCAAAAGGGTTAAAAAATAAACTAAGGAATGATGTGCACCAAATATACAACTAACAAATCACATATATACTACAATTGAACTAACAGATAACACCTAAAAGGATTTCGGGTGTCTTGTACCATAAAGCAAAAATCTATAAAAATACCCCGAGTTGACCAACATTTGAAAATGTTATATTTTGCATACAGTAAGACAGTTAACAAAAAAATAAACTTTACCTCAAGAGTGTATTTCTTCATTTAAAGAGCAAATACCCGAGCTAACCTCAGATCTACTATCATAACCGATATTGTCTGTCGATCCATAAAGAAGTAAAGCTTAAGGTCCCTGCGACGAAGAAAAAGTGCAAGATAGAAAACAAGTTCTGTGTCTGATTTATGCGTATGGCAAAAGCAACACCTCTTCATTTAAAGAGCAACACCTCTGGAACATATTCGTTAAAACTCTTGGTATCAATTTTAAATTTTGAAAGTTATGAAAACATAAACGTAACATCAGAAATTGTTCATGCCTTGACTGTTTTAGCGATAGTTCTTAATCAATTTCTTGAAATCAATGCCCAAGTGCTCTCTTTATGTATTATGTATGTATCCATGTGTGTGTAATTACGAATATACGTATGTATGTATGCACCGCCCTCGATCATTTGGCACCACCTAATTAGTCAACAAAGAATACATCTTGAGTTAATATGACGATGTAAATTTTAAACCTAAAAGAAATGAAAATTTCAAAAAGGAAGCATATAGGGCAAAAAGAAGGACCCAATATGAGCAATTCACTAAAACTTAAAATGCTTTCCTTCTAATTTCAACTCCTGTACATCAATAGGTTCCACCCGCTCCAACATAAGCACCATTTATGCCTATTTGATCTCCCTGCAGCAGAGTGACAAAAAAATTGCAAGAGTTTATTCTTATTATACCCAGGTCGATTCAAGCAAGGAGAGAGAATCAAACGTAAAAAGAGTTTATTCTTATTTCGACTTTTGCCTCTCCAGAAGTTCAATGAACCTTTCAAAGTCTTTCTTTCTCTTTTACTTTCCAGAATGAATTGCCTTTCTTTTCTTTTCGTTATCAAACTAGCCGTGTTACCTTCAAATATGTAAGAGTTGTTGGATTTCAAAATCTCCAGTAAAAGTGTTTGGTTAGTGACAAACGCTACTAAAATTAAGAATTAGAAAGAACAATTAATCAAACATACAAATGCAAAAGGGTTAAAAAATAAACTAAGGAATGATGTGCACCAAATATACAACTAACAAATCACATATATACTACAATTGAACTAACAGATAACACCTAAAAGGATTTCGGGTGTCTTGTACCATAAAGCAAAAATCTATAAAAATACCCCGAGTTGACCAACATTTGAAAATGTTATATTTTGCATACAGTAAGACAGTTAACAAAAAAATAAACTTTACCTCAAGAGTGTATTTCTTCATTTAAAGAGCAAATACCCGAGCTAACCTCAGATCTACTATCATAACCGATATTGTCTGTCGATCCATAAAGAAGTAAAGCTTAAGGTCCCTGCGACGAAGAAAAAGTGCAAGATAGAAAACAAGTTCTGTGTCTGATTTATGCGTATGGCAAAAGCAACACCTCTTCATTTAAAGAGCAACACCTCTGGAACATATTCGTTAAAACTCTTGGTATCAATTTTAAATTTTGAAAGTTATGAAAACATAAACGTAACATCAGAAATTGTTCATGCCTTGACTGTTTTAGCGATAGTTCTTAATCAATTTCTTGAAATCAATGCCCAAGTGCTCTCTTTATGTATTATGTATGTATCCATGTGTGTGTAATTACGAATATACGTATGTATGTATGCACCGCCCTCGATCATTTGGCACCACCTAATTAGTCAACAAAGAATACATCTTGAGTTAATATGACGATGTAAATTTTAAACCTAAAAGAAATGAAAATTTCAAAAAGGAAGCATATAGGGCAAAAAGAAGGACCCAATATGAGCAATTCACTAAAACTTAAAATGCTTTCCTTCTAATTTCAACTCCTGTACATCAATAGGTTCCACCCGCTCCAACATAAGCACCATTTATGCCTATTTGATCTCCCTGCAGCAGAGTGACAAAAAAATTGCAAGAGTTTATTCTTATTATACCCAGGTCGATTCAAGCAAGGAGAGAGAATCAAACGTAAAAAGAGTTTATTCTTATTTCGACTTTTGCCTCTCCAGAAGTTCAATGAACCTTTCAAAGTCTTTCTTTCTCTTTTACTTTCCAGAATGAATTGCCTTGCAAGTATCTCATTTTGATAAACAAAACAATTTAAATTTATGATCAAAAAGAAATCAAGAGTATTAACTTGAACCATTGATAACAAACTCCCAAGAGATTGAGTAGAATTTGGAATGCTTTTCTTCTTATTTAAGTCCAGCATATTTAAATGAAAATTTCAGTCTGTTGTAATTTAGGCATTTGTTATTATCTTGCTGCAGCATGAGTCCCAGAAAAAATGTAAAGAAAATCAAAGGTTAAATGATAATAGGAAAAACTAGCAGCGTCCATTCAAGAAAAGGAAAGGCATGACCAAAACATAGGAATCTGTATCACTCCATGTATCAAGAAATGATCAGCTGAGTGTTTCATCCTTGCACCCACAGGTACCCACTGGATTGCCATACCATAATATATATTAAACAAAGGAAATCTTACAATACATCATTAACGTGTTAGCTTAAAGCAATTCTGGAATGTATTCTTCTATGCATAAGTAAGTAAATGCACACCCACTTACACAATCATTTCACAGGCTTCATTCTTTTTTCCAGATACCTAATTTTATTCTCTCGAGTAAACTCAAGAAGCAAAGAACACCAACATGCATAAGAGACAAGCTAATCGAATAGTATCCAAATCTAACCTACGTATTTAAAATAAAAAGAGACAACCAAGAAGTTAAGGATTTCCGAAGAACACAAACTCACAGTATGACGTCAAATAGTTTGTAGAAAGTGTTCCTTTTTATTTCAACTCCCACATTTTAATGGAAGCTTCAGTTTTCTCCAATTTTCTCCCACGATGATCTGGCAGCAACATGAGTCACAAAAAAATGCACAGAATGAATATAGATAAATGGTACAAAAATTAAGTGTTTAATCAAGCAAAAGAAGGCATGTTAAATCCAGAATTATGAAATCCAACAAAGCCTATAAGTTTTCCATGATGTGAACATCAGCTGACTATTACATTGTTGCACAAACTCACAGTATGACGTCAAATAGTTTGTAGAAAGTGTTCCTTTTTATTTCAACTCCCACATTTTAATGGAAGCTTCAGTTTTCTCCAATTTTCTCCCACGATGATCTGGCAGCAACATGAGTCACAAAAAAATGCACAGAATGAATATAGATAAATGGTACAAAAATTAAGTGTTTAATCAAGCAAAAGAAGGCATGTTAAATCCAGAATTATCAAATCCAACAAAGCCTATAAGTTTTCCATGATGTGAACATCAGCTGACTATTACATTGTTGCACCCACAAGCATTCTACCGGCTTGATATGTATTCATGCATCTTGGACCGAAGCAATGATGATCCATCAGTGTGGAATCATTTTCAGACCTTTTACGGTAAGACATCATTGACGTGTTAGGTTGAACAAAATTTGGACCACACTTCTGGACATGATATAACCAGTTGCTTTCGAGCATATACTACTTTTGTTCCAAAAGAATGTATATTATTTTTGTTCCATTGAATTCCTTGCAGTAAATGCAGGAAGCAAAGAGCACCAACAAGCGTAAGAAACATGCAAGACAAATTGATATAACCAGTTGCTTTCGAGCATATACTACTTTTGTTCCAAAAGAATGTATATTATTTTTGTTCCATTGAATTCCTTGCAGTAAATGCAGGAAGCAAAGAGCACCAACAAGCGTAAGAAACATGCAAGACAAATTGCTTAAACCCCCCAATATATGTATCGAGGTCTATCTAACCTAATCATATCACAAAATTTAGTACAATAATTCCAAGGAACGAAACTGGGGAAGAGAAAATTTTATGGGATCGGGAAGCTATAGAAGATCACCACCCAACTAGCCGAGAAACCATATACAAGCTCCATCCGTAAGCTACTAATCAAGGATTAGACGACACACTTTTAAATAGAACAAACTTCCAGCAACAAACGTATCAAGAATTACAAGATTAAAAGTTGCAACTAAGCAACATTTCCAAATTTATTCTTTTTTGAATATATTAACAAAACATACCAGTCAACTACACAGGAATCCTTTACTTCTACCGCCTCTGCAATTTTGGATCATCTAATTATTTAGGCAATCAAATTCGAGCCATGTACAATTTAGAAGTTTCGCAAAATCAAAGAAACCGAGAACTTCTGAAAAAAGCAAATCAGCGCAGATACCGTAAGAAAGAGGATACTGGAATGTTCTCTCCAGTTCAGCAGTACCTCTTAATGAATTTATGGAGATCAGTGTCCATGTACTCAAATACCATATAGAGTACTGTCTTCCCTTCTTTATTCTGTCCTTGTTTGACATCAAGCAATCTGAACAGAGCACGGAAAGAAACAAACGTTAGATCGATATAATGAAATAAATGACAAGAACCAATTTGCAAATTTAAGAAGGAAAAGACCCAGCAGATGAGATTCACAGAGGATGGCAATTTAAGACAGAAAAGCCTCCATGGGATCTAGCCTCTTGATCGATCGATTGATTGGATCGAAGGGGTTGATTGAGTTATGAGATCCGCACAAGACTAAGGCCGAGCAACTAGCTGATTGGACGTCTATCTATCTCACTACACTCCCTTACTCCTATAAAAGGCCGACCGAAGGAATGCTCTGCTCATCTTTCTTACGGCTACCGCAGCGCTCGTTCACCCTGCTCTCAGCCCAGAGGTTATCGTCTTCGCGAGCCCTCCCTCTCTCTCTCTCTCTCTCCCTCTTTTAATTTCTTCGCGAGTTTTGGACGCTTCAAACGGTTATAATTTCTCAGCGGAAATGTTCTCTCCAGTTTAGCGGTACCTCTTAATGAATTTCTGGAGATCAGTGTCCGTGTCTTCTCTTCTTTATTCTGTCCTTGCTTGACATCAAGCAATCTGAACAGAGCATGGAAAGAAACAAACGTTAGATCGAGATGCTGAAATAAATGACAAGAACCAATTTGCAAATTTAAGAAGGAAAAGACCCAGCAGATGAGATTCACAGAGGATGGCAATTTAAGACAGAAAAGCCTCCATGGGATCTAGCCTCCTGATCGATCGATTGATTGGATCGAAGGGGTTGATTGAATTATGAGATCCGCACAAGACTAAGGCCGAGCAACTAGCTGATTGGACGTCTATCTATCTCACTACACTCCCTTACTCCTATAAAGGCCGGCGGAAGGAATGCTCTGCTCATCTTTCTTACGGCTCGCTACCGCAGCGCTCGTTCACCCTGCTCTCAGCCCAGAGGTTATCGTCTTCGCGAGCCCTCTTCACGAATTTCTTTTCTCTCTCAAACTCTCCCTCTCTCTCTCTCTCTCTCTCTCTCTCTCTCTCTCTCTCTCTCTCTCTCTCTCTCCCTGACGTTCTGCATCCGCTCCCCTCTCTCCTCTTTTAATTTCATCAGCGTTCTAACCCGCTCCCCTCTCCCCTCATTTCAATTTATTCGCGTGTTCTTAACGCTTCTAACGGTTATAATTATCTCACGTGTTCTAACCCGCTCCCCTCTCCTCTCTTTTAATTTCTTCGCGTGTTTTTGAAGCAGCTTCAAACGGTTATAATTTCCTCACGTGTTCTAAACCTGCTCCCCTTTGAATCTTCAAACGGTGGCGTTTTGGTTGAAGGAATAAGTGCATGGGCCCAACTTTTATTTGGGCTTAATTTTGGAAGCAAAATGGGCTTCAGAGATATTAATTTTTGTTATGTCTGGATTTTAATTATTGAGAGGGTTGCACTTTAATTTTTGAAATTTATTAGATTAAATAAAAACTGAATTTAAAGTAGTGAATTTTGGAAATACATGAAAGTCAAATAATAATAATAATAATAATAATAATAATAATAATGATAACAATAATAATACAATAAAAATAAAAAGAATAATAAAATTAATTAAAAAATAAATTACTATAGGCAAAATTAGGATATTTTACCTTTTGTTTGTATTTTTAATTTTTAATTAAAAAATATTAATAAAAAATAAAAAATAGTATATCTATTGTATGATAAATAACATTTATTGAAATTTTTTTCATAATAAATATAAATAAATTAAATACCAAAATAAATTAACATATATAATAATAAATGAGTGAAATAAAAGTTTATTTATTTCAAATATTAAGTTTGATATTTTGATTCTTAATTTATAATCAATCATTATATTAAAAAAAAAAAAAAGACAAGCGTGGTGCACACATTTAAATATATGATTTATTTTTAAATAAAAAATAGGCACAATATATTTTATTTCTTCGAAATATAAACATAATTCATAGTATCTCACTTCAATTTATAATTTTTTCTTCTTTTTATTTAAAAACTTAATTATTTAAATAAAATCATCAATATTTATGTATGATAATTAATCATTCTATTATTTTTTAAAATTATAAATTTAAATCAAATTATTTGTTTTGTGTGTATTGTTAAAAAAATTTGGTATTATTAATTATATTATTAATAATTAATAAATCTCACTTAAATATTAAAATACATAAAAATTTTAAAAAATATATTAATATTGTGAAACAAAACTTTATTCA